TGGCTCCTCTCTCTTCTGATCTATTTTTAATTAGCAGTTTGGGGCCTTGGCTGTTCAGCCACGGAAGGTGATCCGGGTGGCACAGTCTCATTTGTCTGGGTGTGTGGATGTTGATGCCTGCACAGAGGGCTGTAACGTGTTGTCCAGGCAACAGAGAGCTGGAGAGCAAGGAGTGGGAGCCTGCGGACAGCTCTTGGGGAGAGACTTGGATGCTCCAGCACAAGATGCCAGGATACCTAACTAGAATGGCAGATTGCCTACAGAAAGAGGACGGGGAGCCAGTAATGCAAAACTTGTTACTTTTTGATGAATTAGCTCCAGATCATGCCAGAAAGACAGTTGTTTTCACTGTCCGCAAAATCTGTGCAAAGCATTCAGGAGAAGTGCAAGCTGTCAGAATAAGCCCTCCCAAAATGAACTGCTTCATGGCGTGGTATGTATAATTTCCCATTTTTCTTTCTACAGGGATGATTTAGTACCCATGCCTTGGTAACAGGTTTCATCCTCCTTGATTATGATACAGTTGCAATGCATCAGGGGCACATCCTGCAATGGACTGAGTATCTTTTGAAAGATGCTGAGTGCCTTTGGCTCTACCCTTGTCATTAAGAGTAGACAAAAAGGCTCAGCACTTCCCACCAGCATTTTAGCAAGGGCTGGGACAAAGTCATGGAGTCCTTTGGCACTGTGCAGCCCCGAAGGGCACAGAAGAGGACTCTGGGGACTGTTTAGCCCAGCCAAAACCTGTGAAAGTCTGGCATTTTTGCTTACTGTCTTTAGAAGAGATATTGTCATTATTTATTGATTGGTTTTTTTTATGTTGCTGTAGCATCTTGGACGGGAACCCTTAGGCCAGGGGCCATACAGAATCAGAATAGAAGGACAGTCCTTGACCCAAAGGAGCTCACAGTGAGACAAGAGACAACAAATGGCTATTACACACAGTGGCAGGGTAAGGGAACAAGGGACCAGTACTATTAAGTGGGAAAAAGAATTGATCCACAGTCAGATATTGTTGCAAAAATAATCACAAAAACTGTTGACTTTCTTGCCTGTTTTCCCTCCTTATCTAGATTTTCTGCAAAGCTGGAAAACTTGTCAGTTGCTCTCGATGTGCTGGATTTGTTACACATCTTCCTCAGAAAGTTCCTGACCTAAAACACATGGAAAAAGATGGGACTGTTTTTGCTGGCTTCAGTGGACCTTGGATGAGCCAAAAGTCTCAAATGCAGAATACTTTAGTGGAAATGAGATATTGTGTTTGCAGCTGAACTTTTGTCAGCCTAAAGCCCCATGCCTCAAAAGATTTATTCAGGGACTTCCTTGTTTACTAGTACTACTAGTTTAGTAGTTCCTCCCATTTTTTCCTTTTAAATGAATGTGTTCCAAAACCAACTTCTGCCACCTAATATTTGGATTGTTTTCTGCTTGATTCAAAATATTTTGGTCTCAGGTCCAGCTTGTGCAGATTCACATATCCTAGGTAAAATGAAAATGATTTCATCTTAATAATGCCACCAGTCTGACAGATATTTCACACAAGTTTTGAAGAATCTGTTTCTCCAGCAATTGTACAGTCTGAGCAGGTATCTGGATACTTCCTCAGATGACATGGGTTTGTGCATCAGCAGTACCAGAGGATACAGAAGTCATCTGGGGACCTGTACCTTATTTCTGTATACAGCCATGAGGGTAGAAATGGAAAAAATTTAGAAATGGAAAAATATGTGGATCTTATGTATTTTCTTTTTTTTTCCTTTATGTTTTTTTTTTTCCTTTATGTCTTTTATTTTTATTTTGTTGTAGAACTACCCTGTGCTCTGAGATTAAAAATAGAGCTTCAGTGCATAGTGCATTCTTCTCCTTCTTTGCTCTAGCCAACCCAGAAGTCTGAAGGAAAGGTGACTTTAATTGAAAGAACAGGAGCCCCACTGGTAACTACCTCTGCTTGCCTATCCCCTCTGTTGCTTACTCAAGTTCATGCCCATCACACCTAGAAAAGCAGCTTTGATGGTGATAAGAAGCAGCAGTAATCCTGCTCACTGCTGCCACTGAGCATGCAGGGAGTGAGAACAGACCAGGAACCTGGGAGCAAAGCTGTCATTGTGCCAGAAAAAGAAAGAAATGTGGCACAAACCCCACTCCTTTAGAGGAAAAGGCCATCTTCAAAAATTACTTAGAAGGGGAAAAACCTGTAAAAGAAAAGGATGAATCTAACAGGTACTTTCAAGGAGCATCAGGCCAGTTGAGGGCAAGAAGATAAATAAGCAAAGTGAGAAAAAAAAGAACTCAGAGCAGTATAAACCTTTAGTAAGTGCTGCATTTCTGTGGAAGAAGAAAATATCTTTCTTCAGGTTACCACAAAGAGGCAGAAAGACACTCTGGCAGCACTTTGGTACTGCCATGTCCAGTTGATTGTAATCATTGTGAACATAAGATTTCAAATCACATGGGAGTTTTTATTTAATACTTTACTAGCTCCAGCAAAAGGTCTGATTTACCTTGCTCACTGAGTCATTTTTAGAAAAAGCACATTCCCAAGCACTCAGCATCCAGTAAACTCTGCAAAGAAGAGTTAAAAATAATGCTAAACCCAGAATATTGTGACTGTTGGCAGGAGAGGCTGTTTAAATAATTGATAGGAGTATCTGGAGAAAAGGAGCAGGATGGGAGATGGAAATTTGTGATCCAGAGAGAGGGATAACACCTTCCTGTCCTTAGAGGAGTTATGCCCATTTCTTTCCAAAGTGAGGCACTAGCCATGACAATGAAGGGCAGTAGGCACAGATCTGTCCCACCAGGATTGTTTTTGTATTCCTCACACTGTGGATCAGACCCTCAGGTGGGGTCTGTGAAGATAACTTGATTTAGGCATCCAGGGGTACATTAGTGGAACTCTGCTCCATTGGTGAGTGGAGTTCAAAGCACCATTTCAAACATCTGTCAGCTGAGAGGGAAATTACATCTCTACAGGCTGAAATGGGGACTTTGATGCACACCCATAAATGCCTAAATGTGGGTGTCATTCTGTGAGCTGAATGTCAACAGTGGAAGCAAACCATCAGAGCTATACCAGTTGGCAGCAGCTATAAATCTGACTTTTCCAGCATATCTGTATCCTTATTTATATTAACCAAAGTTAGTAGACACAGTTTGCTAACAAATTCACTACTGGCAGCAGGATAGAAATGAAGGTATTTTACAGATCCTCATAAAATAGATTGCTAACTGTTCATGAAATATTAAATTCAGGGGCTTATGCCTGGAATATTTAATGCAGTTAATGATGTATCTTTGACCTCCTTTGTGCTTTTGTGGTTTGGCCAAAGTGTTCATACATCTGGAATTTGGCTTCTTCCTAAAATGTTAAATAAACACAAAGTTGTCATCACATACGTGAGAAATTACAGAGCTTTGCTTTTGAAAATTCACCTTCACTGTGTCTGTACTTTTGAGTAAAATGCCACATTTTAAGTATATCTTTGCAGGCAACAGAACATTTGCTGGTCTCAAGGAATGTAATACTTGCTTCAAGTTGAGGCAAGAATTTTCCTCTGGCTCTGTAGTGCAATGCACACACCTCCTTAAATGAGCTTGGTTTGCCTGCAAAAACCTCCTGCAGAGCTGTGCAATGGCATGGCAAGTAGTAGCTTAAACCTGCCTAGAGCAGCATCTTTTAAGAAAAAATTTCCAGCCAGCATCACATTTAGTCAGCACAGGAGATGCTGGCAGTGCTCTAGCTAAGACTGCCAAATTTGAGCCTTAAAAATGGTGACTCAGCCTTGCTCTTGTGTCCTGCTCTTCCCAGTTCCCGGGGCAAAGAGCTGGATTCACACACAACCTGCGTGTGCTGGGACATGAGGAGAAACGGTGAGCTGCAGTCGGTGATTGCTCTGAGGAAGAGGAGCTCTGGCAGGGAAAAACATGCTAAAAATGTGCTAACATCTGCCATTTGAAGATGATACCTCAGAGTCTGAAGAAATAAGGAAAACTTGCAATTATTTCTCATGACTGTTTTTCTCTCTTTCTGCAACAAAACAAACAGACTGTTTTAAGTAATCTCCTGAGGTAATGATCTGCTTTTCCAAAAGGGCTTTTATAGTTCTGTTCCTGTCTTCTCTGGAGCATGATCATATGAATTGAAACTTCATTCACCTAGGCTTTGACACAATTTGTTTTAAAGTTCATCTCTGTATCCTTGAATGGATTTTCCTCCTTCCCTGGTTCATTATAGGGTATGGGTTTGAGTTCCTTATGCAAAATTTGCTAATGGCTATTTTATCTTTCCATCTCTTCTTTTTATCAGAGATTTTGCTCAGTGGCTCAGATTTGTATCAGCTATTAGAGTTCATTTCAGTTCTTGGAGGAATTTTGGGGGGAATTGAGCTTGGCATTTTGTAGTTTAGTTGCTTAGCTACCTAGTGTGGTCTAGGAACATCTCTTTTTTTCCCCTTCTATATTTAGCATGTCCACTGTAGTCTGAACTTTCTTCTGTGTCTCCTTTCATCTTATACATTAGCAGGCTTTTATAAAGTTTTGCTGGTTAGTTCTGTGAGAGAGTGACAGCACATTTTGTAAGTGCTGTGTTCTGTTGCTGGTCTTCAGCAGTCATCCCTTTCAAATGGACTTCCATGGTTTTGTGGTATCATTGTGTGGTTAAATTTCCTTAAGGAGCTGTCAGAACTTCTACTTAGACTGGCCAGTTTAGACTTGGTAGATAATTTCAAATCTTTTCTGAGTATAAACAACTCCATTGACTGCACATAAACACAGAGCAAGTTTTAACAGTGTCTAAAATAGCTGACCTTCTGTATTTGTCGCTTAATTCTACTTTGTTTTAGGAAGCAACTATAATAATTTAAAAGGCACAAACTTGTGAACACATTCACACATCACAGTATCCTGGGCTCACGTGTAACCTCTCACCAAATTAGGAGCTAATCAACAGGGATGGTGCCTTTGTAAGTTACCAGATCAGAAATACCTGGGCTGCCTTCAGCCTCCAAGTTCCCCAATCCTGCTCCTTTGGCTCCTTCACATAAACAAAGATTTGCCTCCAACACAGCAGCCCCTCACTGTAATGGACGAGCAGTGAATTGACTTTGTTACCTCAAAAGAACTGAGGCTTTCCAGGCTTCCCCACCCATCCCAGGGTGGGACAGAGATGCCTCACCAATGCCACTGGCCTTTCCTAGAGCCACCCACTCAGGGGTCACTCCTCTAGCCAAGGCTGCTGGACATTTCCTTCTTGCTGCTCCTTCTGGCTTTCCCTTTCCACTGCTGGCTGTCCCACTTTCATCATTCATATGTAAGTATCTGAAGGGAGAATGCCAAAAGGGTGGAGCCAGGCTCTTTTAGGAATGATAGAACAAGAGGCAGTGGGCAGAAATCAATGCACAAGAAGTTTCACATGAATATGAGGAAGAACTTCTTTACTAGTCTGAGCACTGGCACAGACTGCACAGAGGGGGTGTGGGGTCACCCTTACTGGAAATATTCAAGGACCATCTGGACACAATCCTGTGCCATGTGCCCTGGGATGACCTTGCCTGAGCAGGGCAGTTGGACCAGATGATCCATCCGTGCTCCCTTCCAACCTTTCCCTTTCTGTTATTCTCTGATTCTGTGATTTAGTGATTTTAACCCACCTTCTACCACAGGGGACCACGTCCCCTCTGCCATGCTCACCTGTGCTGGCAGCTCCAGTGGTGCTCTTTCCAACCCTCCTCATCCAAGATGTCCCTCTGGTTTCAGGCAGCCCAGCTCTCTGAAAGGCTCATTTTTCTTGTCCCAAAAAACCAGAAATGTAGTTGAAGTTTAGTCAGTCAAAAATATTGTTTCTTGCCTCATTCTTTCAGCCTGATGAGGTTTCAGAGCAAAGCTGTGACAGCTAATGTAGACACTGCAGATTCTCAAAAATCAAAAAGGAAGGGGAGGGAATTGATCCAAACTGATGGGCACAACAATTGTTAGTGACAAAAAATACCACAACCTCATCAGCTGCAGCTGGCCAGTCTCATTCTCTCCACTAGGTCTAGCCTGCAGCTGGATGTATTCTAACCAGATTTGTGTCTGTCTTAGTTCTGGCTGCAAATCTGGATGAGTGAGTGATGGTGATACTGGGAAAATCAGAATGGGTGGAAGAACTCTGAGATGTGCCTTGAGGCGGTGCCTAATGTTAGATCTTGCTCAGAGGCAGTTCCTGGTATTAGCTCATGAATAAAAAAAATGCCATGCACAGTCAACTGCCAGCCACTGGGAGCTGTGGGGACAAGAAAAAACAGTTTTAATGAGGAAAAGATTCCTTTCATATAATTCCTAGCTGATCCATAACATGAAATGTTTCCATTTCTCAGGTCCCTGTGCACAGAACAGTTCTATAGAAGCTGAGGTTCTTCTCTGAGACTCAGACTTTCATTAAACAAAGAGGGGAAAAAAGATAAAATGTCTGGCCTTCACAGCTGTGAATAAAACCTTCCAAGCATGAAAAAGAAAGTCAAGCCTTGCCTGTGCATAGAAGTTGATTGCTTTAACCATTTAAAAAGGCAGAATGGAAGATATTAGCCTGGTGTAAAGCTGTTTTATACCAGTGTAGCTAATCCCATATGGCAGGGAAACATATGGGCACAGCTCTCAGAACTTCTATCCTGATGGAGGACCAGGCATACTAGAGGAGGCATTTTGGGCCATGTTGGCAACCAGGAACAACCTAGTTTAGCACAACTGATGCAGCTTCTGCACCTGATAGAAGAATGCCACAGCCACTCAGCCCTTGGTTCATACAGAGCCTCCTCTTGCACAGCAATTACACCAACCCCAAACCCAGCTGTAACCTTGCTGTGAGCAAGGCTGCTGTGCTCATATCAGAGCAGATCAGTTCCAGAAATGTCTGACCATATCACAGCATTGGTAGGGCTTTGCTTTTCCTTTTCAATAACAGAAGCCTGCACACAGACATACCTCGGGTTGCAGACAAGTCGTCTTGCTGGCAGAGCTCACTGTGCTTGGGAACTGTTCTGACCTTTCAGCAAAAGAAGGATCATTATGTCTGTAGAAACTGAGTTTCCCCTATAAAGGATGGCTGTGAAAGTGGCAAGTACATCTTTGCAACAGAGAACAAGTCTAAATCTGCAGCTGCCCTGAAATGTTTGTTCTGAGACAAGTGGGTGCTGTCATCCTCTTTCTAAGGGCACAGACCCTAATGAATGTATCATCCCCTTGATGAGCTGTTTCTGAGGAATATAACTCCAAGGGGCTTCTTCCAATGCTTTTTCCTGGTTTTCCTGTGACTCTCAAAAGTTCTTTGTCTGTTTTTCAAACACCTGAAAAAAAAAAGCTTCAAATGGCTTCTGCAGCTTATGTGAGCTCCCTGGGGCCTGCAGAAGAAAGTCCTTCCAGTCTCTTCCTCCCTTGTCCTCCAGCTCAGCTCTGCAGCTCTCTGTGGCAGATGGCAGAGCCTGATTTGTCCCAGGTAACCGCTCTGTGCCAGCACCTGGATCTGTGCCTGAAGACTCTGGGCCCTCAGGACTCTGCCCTTGGACCTGTGCTTCCTTTGCATAGTCATCTTCTCAAATGGTCTCAGGCTACAGGAACAGCTCGTGTCAGTGCTCCAGCAGCCAGCCATGGACGTGGGCTATGGCACAGATTGTCCATACTATCACCAGCACAGTTCAATAAAGAGGTGTCATTACAAAACCCGGGTTTGCTTCCAAATTTCTTGCCTGAGCCTTTAAGTTCTGAATTTGCCTTAGTCTGCCTCTAGTGCAACACCAATTTTTTTAAGATAGGTGGAAGGCAGAAGCACATTTGTGAGGACTCTCAAAAAGTTCCTTACCATTTCCAAGCTGGGGATGTTAGTTTTACAGTGGACCTTTTCATGTGAAATATCTCTGTCATACCTTGTTCCAGTAAAGCGTTTCCTATTGTAGCACCCTGCAAGGAGTTTCAAAGAGAAAAAAAACTCTGGGCTGCCTGATGAAAATTCTCACTATCTTTTCATTGCCTGAGAGGGAAATCCCAAAAACCTGTGCTTAGATATTTAGTGGTGTTTCCCTTCCCTTTATGTCTGTGGATTGTGTCTGTGTTTATTTGGACATATATAGCTTGTTTTAGCATGTACCAGTCTCTGGAGATCCAATTTTTCCACATTATTGAAGTAGTATAGTCTGGAGCCACACTGCCTTTGGGATGTGAAAGGGACTCTTTTACCCACTTCTCTGGCTTTGTTTCCGGCAAGTTCAGGTCTAAAGATAGTTGTGCAAAGTCATTTCTTGAGGATAGGAGTAATTTATACCCCTGAAAACCATCCAATGGGCTTCTCAGAACACAGGCAAAGGCAGTCAGAGGAGTGAAAGACAAGAGAGCAGGGAAGAATTGTTTTCCTCAGAGAATTTTTCTTGACCGTTTGCTAACTGAATACAAAAAAAACCAGTGTTTCTCAGCTCTTAACAGATTCACCACAAGCTTCTGCTGTTTTTCCCTGCTGTGCTGCAAAGCAGAGTCTGCAGGCTTTGCTATGATGCACACTGTTGGCACCTCCTCATAATCAGGCACATTTCCCAGGTGCCACACTTCACCTGCTTCGGCAGACAGGCCTCTCCCAGTTACTCACCCCAACCTGGGCCAGTCAGGAGTGGCCTCTCCTTTCCCAGTCCCTCCACCTGCAAAACCTCATACATCCAGAGCTGAAACCTGTCAGCTATCCCAGCCCTGTGCCTGTGGCAAACCCTAAGGAAGAGCACGGGGCTGGGTATGACAGCAGCGTGGGATTTCCCTTGCCATGGCAAACCTCAGCAAGCTGAACAGCCACCTTCCTACTTTTCTAGCATTCCCCATCTCTGGAAATCTTCAAGGCCAGCTTGGATGGAACCCTGAACACCCTGATTTAGTGGGTGTCATCCCTGTCCATGGCTAAAGGATTAGAACTAGATGATCTGTAAGGTCCTTTCCAATGCAAACCATTCTATAATTCCCTGACTACCCTCTCAAGCCCAGGGCATTCAGCAGCACAGCTGGGGACATGGTCAGTCCTTGTTTTCTCAGGGCTTGTTAAATCTGCAGAGTGTGTCTGCTCAGCAGCAGGTGAGAAGCACAGAGGCAAATGCTGACAAAAACAGGCCCAAAAGGCCCGATTTCTACAGGAAATGCCAAAAGACTGGAGTGTATGAAGTTCATGAACTTTGATGGGAGGGGCAGCAATACCTTGCCAGGATTTGGAGAGGTTTCACACTCAGAGAGAACAGTGGAAATGTGCAGGGCAGCTTCCAAAGAAGAATTAGAGGTAAGCTTAGTCCGTACAACGTGGAAGCGAGCTTGGAGCACAGCACTAGGGCAGCTGGAGGTTCAGCCTGTCCAGGGAAAATTGCTCTGCTGAGAGGGCTTGAGGTGTCCAAAGCCTGGCAGTGCCTTGGAGAGAGGCCTGGTAGCTTGGCAGCCACACTGTTCTGCTCTGAGTTTCAGAAGGAGTGAGAGGTTTAGTTCAGAATTGGTATTTGCTCTGTGGTGCTGCTCCTAAAAACATGAAAAAATGCTTTCCTCTTTCATTTGGCTGATTTGTTGTTTTTCCTCTCTTTTCCTCCTCAGCCCTGTAGTAGTGGCTAGGCTTTGCTCTCACTTCTAGTACTGTATGCTAGGCTGCTAGGTGGGATGTGAGCCCAGAGCAGGGACAGCCACCTTCCAGTTCGTTCTAGGTACAGAGACCTTTCTGCCTGGGATCCCTGGAATGCCTTTCTGTGACTGCTTTCAAAGTAATCCAGGTGTTATGCTGTACCATGAAAAATGCCATTAAATACAAGGAAGTAGACCCCCACAGACCCACCCCCACATTTGTCTTTGAGCAAATGAGGACTCCAAAGAGATGGAAATGTAAGTAATGTATTGCATGCAGACAGTGGGAAGCGTTAGAAACACTGGGATTATTTTGCAAATCCTTTTTCAAAGCAGAGGCAGTAGGACACAGCCGCATCAGACACATATCATTTTTCTGTTCACAAATGCTTTTAGGCACTTAATCATAGCCTGTGGCATGTTCACAAGAGGATGTGCATTGGAGCAAATCCTTGGTCCATATGCTCTGGAGCAATCCCCAGTTCCTCCTCAGTTACAGCCAAAAGTGGCATGAGTTTTTGGATAATCATCTGTCTTGTTATCATTAGGAGGATGGATGTATTCCCTGCCATATATTATAACCAATGCTTTTTTTCATTATTAATGTTTAAATGAGACTGTTGCTCCCAAATGCAACATCTTCCTTTAATAATATCAGATTTTCAGAGCTTCTAATCTCTGTACCCAGACAGTATTTTGTTTCGGTCTGTCCTTATCTGCAGCACGAAATTTATCTTCTATTTCTCCTGCTTGGTAAATCATGTTTTTTCATATGCTGCCACAGATGCTCTTCATGGCCAGACTTCATTCTCTTAATTTTCACCTTCAGCCAAGCTCTTCTTGCATGAAAATTTAGGCTCTTATTTGATATGGGGAATTAGCAAGGAGAGGCAGGTGCCTGCCACTGGCTCATGCCCTTCTTTTGGACCTTTAATTTTTCTTCTGTGCAGGCTTTTTTTTTTTTTGTAAGAGTAAGAGCCTGGCAGGTCTGCAATGTGCTTGAGTATCTGGGAGCACAGACAGAATTTCCCCCCCACAAGTGATCCCATCAGAATCCAGTCTTGCTTCCCAAGACAGAGGGAAGGAAGAATCAAGGGGCCAAAGGAAAGGAGTAATTTCTTTCTTAGCAAGAGATAGATCACTGAGCAAGAAACTTTCAATTCCAGCAAGCTACTGAACAAACTTGAACTGTGCCAGAGTAAGCTGCAAAGGGGAGGAGGAAAAGCCAGTCTCTGGGGATGGGACAATGAATGTTTGACATCCTCACCAGACTTTTCAACACAAGGCTAGAGGAACACTGCAGCAGATTGCTTGGGGAGGCTGCTTCCTCCCCAACAAAGGATATTTTGAGCAAAAGCTATCTATTAGGAGCAGTTGAAGGTACTGCCATACAGTACCTGTGCACAGGTATGACTGCAGGATCTTTTGATGGCTTTCCTGTATTGTCACCCTCTAGCTCTTTCCCAGAGAGGGTACTGACAAAACATTTGCCCTCTATAAGGGCAGGTAGCCAGTATTTTAGTCCTGTAGTTACTCAAAAAGTTATTGCTGTCCTCCTGATTATCAGCCATGGTTCTTCTAACCAGCATTTTACATTGTGTCTTGTAATGCACACACCACCTTCCCTCTGCCAATAGGGGAAGAAGCTGATTTGGAGCCAAGACAAATGAAATGTTCTCTGCTCATTGCCCAAGCTGAGTAAAGCACTGAAGATAAACAAATGTGTGCCTAAAACTGCTTGGATTTATTGGTTTTATATCTCAGGTTAGCTTGGTTCAGTGAAGGATTCTTAGGGACAGTTTTAACCTTGGCAACCTTAAAGGGAGAAGGAGCCCAGTACCTAACTCCCTTCCCAGGGGAAGGGAAATCTTAAAAGCTGTTCATGATCA